TCTTGCACATTTCAGAGGTGATGAAGAAATGTTGTAGTTTTCCTGATGCACTTTGAGGGGAAGATTTTATGCTTGTGGTGGTGATATCTATAGACCCTTTGACGATCATTCGAAGTATTGGAGTTTTTAGGAGGCGATGCAGACTTTACTTGGAGATGAACGGATTTTTTGTGGCTCTTGTACAAGTATATGTTGTCTATTGTAGCCTTTTAATGTGATATTTGTAGATGATAATAATGTATTTATTTACGTCTTTGACGTTTCTTATGAGATTATTGTGGCTTTTCAACCATATGAAGTTCAACAATTAAAGTTAGCACACTCATTTTATAAATGAAGAATCACGTACCTTTTATGGTTCTTACCTTTCGAGGTTGTGCTCCCTCAAACCTATGTCTTATAGGAGCTTGAACTGGTACCTACTGAGGCTCATAGCTTTCTGAGGTCTTTCGTGTATCTGTGCCTTTTTAGGCTTGATTTCTTGGAGCATTGTAGTTTTCTATTGAGTCTTGTCTCCTGGGATCAACTTCAAGGGGTATGGTTGAAAGAAAAAATCCATTAAGGATGTAAGCCTAGTTATGAGTTGTATAACCAAAGATGTTTGATGGTATTAACTCGTAATGAACAAAGTCATATGAAATCCACTGAGGATGATTGACCTATCCTAGGTTGTTGGTTGAAGCTTTTGTCTGACGATCGTAACCTGTTATGGAAGAGGTTAAAGGAAATCCACCAGGATTTTTGACCTATTTAAGGCCGTTCATTAAAGCCTTTGTTTGACTATTGCATCTTATAATGGAAGAGGTCAAATCGAGTCCCCCTGCGATCGATTAATCCCAGAATGAGGTGTCATATATGCTATGTGTTTCTCGAGACTGTGGTGTAGGTTGCAATAGATCATATGTTTTCTTGAAAATATGGTTGCAGTCATGCTAAAGAAAATATTTGACAACTTGTTAGTTGCTGCTTTTGAATTTATTGTTTTCCTAGCGGGGGTATTTTTCATACAAGCTTATAAAACAGCACAAGTATTGGGCCTTGAAGAGATCAGCTTCCTGGTCTAGCTGAAGAGGAACTCCAGTAAGATGAGGGGACACTGAGGAAGCATTTTTTTCTGTGATGATTGCCCCCATTCCATGATAGATTCACGAAGACTCGTAATCTAAATAAAATATGAGATGACTTCTCCACCAAAATCGTGCCCGGGACGTTGACATGAATGAACTTTTGAGATTGCAGTGAAGGTTGCCCCAGCCTGGAAGAAATTTTAAAATATTTTGTCTGAATAAGATGCGAGAAAATAACTTCACTACAATCATGCTCGGACGTTGATGTGAACAACCTTTCGACACTGCAGTGAAAGCTGCCCCCCTACCTGGAAGAATGCTTCTAAGAAGATCCTTAAGACGTAAAGGAGGTTCCTTAGCTAGTTGGGATATACATCATTGAGAAATGAAGTAGGGGATTAACTTCTTAGAGTTGAAGACAATGTCGAACAAGACTTTGTTTCTCACAGACGTCGCCAAATGGATGCGTGCCAAAAAATTTACGGCGGTAGAGTAACGAATTATCGTCTTAGTGTTGTACGAGAATTCTGAACACACTCAGATGAAAAAGAAAAAAACAATGACTACTCCAGAAGTTTTTACGTGGAAAACCCATAAAGGGAAAAACCACGGGGTCTCGCCCAGTTGAGAAAATCCACTATTGATTGATGATTACAAAAATCCCTTATCACACAGACGGAAAAAGATAACTATATTTTTCAGATTAAAACGTTGACTAACAGCGTCTGGTTGGTGGTGATCGATGACAGTTGACGAGGCCGACGACGATCGACGATGGTCTTTGGCAGTCGGCGATGGTCGACTGCTATCGATGGTGGTCGACGATGGAGGTCGGTGATGTTCGACGTCGATTGGCGGTGATGCTCAACTGCAGCTTCTCCTCAAGGTCTCGGACTCTCTCTCCAGACTTCAGCTTCCCCTCATGAGAGAGATGGGGCTCTATTTATAGTTTTCTGGGTGCAATTACTACAGGAATATGAATCATTTTGATCGGATGATCCGGATAGCTTCACTCAATCATACAACGTTTACTAGACATTTGAGTGCCTTAATGATATTAGAATTGAGTGATATTGGGCTCGTTGGATTCTTCTTGTTGAGCCGCTCATTTCGAGTATAAATTTGTCAGATTCGACAACCCTTTGATCTTCTAAATGTGTCTGAAAATCATCTAAGTGTGGTTCAATGAATTGATATGGGCTTGACTTGACTCGGATTGAGCTATTTTTCATATCATTAGGTCCGTCTCATCAAGCCGGTCAGTTTGACTATAAGTTTGCTGAAATTAGAGCTTTGAAAGACTTTTTATCAAGATTTGAATGTTTTCTGCTTAAAAAATCATCTCGAAATTCGTGTCATGCCTTGAGATTCGTGCCGGATGATGAAAATTTGTTGGTGGCGTGTCATGTAAAAAGAAAATATTTAAAATTTTTAAACTAATTTTCATAAAAGTCGAATAGAAAAGGATTCAAGAGAATTAATTGTGTATTTAATTGAATCTTTTTTTTTTTTTCCTACAGTGGTATTATTTTTTCCAAATATGAAGTGATATTTAGGGACGCCTTGTATTATGGAATTTGATTTAATTTTGAAGAGAAACTTTTGTATGTTTCGGTATGAGCTTTTTTTCTTTTATTACAATAATTCATGCACTAATAATACCTCAATAAGTTTAAGAAAAAAAAAAGAATTTTTATAAATAGACTGTGTTGTTAGCTTTAAGATTACAAGTCAACCTTATTTAAGGTTTGTGAACCCTAATTTAATCCACTTTTTCCTTTTATTTCTGATTTTTTTAAAAATTATCTTCACCTTCCCAAAGCCTTAAATCATTCTAATCATCATAGAAATTGAGTCATACACCTACTTTGAAATCATAATTTATCTTTTAGCTATGGTGATATTTTCACTTAAGAAAGCCATAATTTTCTAACTATAGAACTAGTTGATTTGAAGTCACATACTTTGGTTAACTAGCATCCAAGCCTATGATATAGAGATTCTCAAGCTTTTCTATTAAGTAAAATATGGCCAAGCATTGCAAAAGAGTTTTAATCATTAGTTTGGCTAAGAAATGTGAACTATTCAGTATTTTAAACCCTTCACCAATCGGAAAGGTTCTTATGTAATTTCAACAACCCTTGAATGTTTTTAACAATAACTCATTACCAATATTCACTACAATAATTATTATTAAGAGAACAAACTAAAGTATCATTGTTCATGTTATTATTCCCCCACCATGGCTTACTTTTTCAATTAGCAAAAATTTTCTATAAACTAATAAAGATGAATATTTAGAGTGTGTTTGGGGCAGCTTGTGTTTATTCAGATAAGCAGCTTATCTTGAAATAGGCCCACGGGGTTCAACCCACGGTCTGCGTTTGGTATAAAAACCTAACCGCGTTTTTAGATAAGCTGCCGAAACTTATTTTCCAAACGGTGAGACAGCGTTTTGAAAATGCTGCCCGCACTTATAAGCTGCCCCAAAAGGGTCCTTAATGTACCAGCTTCCCGACCCCTATGTTAGTAGAGTTAAGAATACAATATGCTAAGAAGTTTGATTAAGTTTAGGATTTCTTCACTCAAACAATTAAAATAACATATAAGAAGAAATAAAGCAACAAGAGGGCACAAAATTTGTTTTAATTTGATTCTATGATAGTGATATGCATATGACCACTGTGCTAGGAAGAAAAAAAAGATCCTTGGAAGTTCTATGAGTGTGCTTTAATAATTCCCATAAGGTTACTTGCAAGCTTTATGCGAGGGTTGCCATCAGACTAATTGTCATTATTTAATCAATACGCATTACATTTTGAAAGTAATTAGTATGGAAAGGTTGAATCCAAAACATGAATGGATGCACTGCGTTAAATCTTGTCCTGTTGCAACTGGGTTGAATAAATATAATTTGTTGAAGAAATTTTTGAATGAAAGTGAGAATATAATGAGTACCATTCCAAGTATAATTACATATTCCAAAAGAAATATGTAATCTTCGAGACAAATTGACCATTCGGAATGCTTGTTATGATAAATTTTCCAAATTTACGTTTGAACCTTTTTATTTTGATCATTAAGACTAAACCTACAATTGATTTACACAATGACTACGTTGAAATAAATCCTTTTATTTATTTATTACTTTTATTTTGGCAAAGATGAGGAAGACCCAGAAAATTGGGCCTAAGTTGTATAAAAGTAATCATAATTAATATGTTATATAAAGTTATAACACTCAATAGGCCACAATAGAGAACAAATGATCCATATAGCTAACCCCACTCATCCGGATATAAAGGCTTCTATTGTTGTTGTTGTTGTTTTGAGAAAGAAGAGTATAAAGGATAATATGTATGAGTCAAACTTTAATCTGATCTCCCATTGAAAAACTACTCTATCAACTGTGTTTTTGGTAGCTACATTGTGTATTTTTTTTTCATACTTACTGATATATATATATATATATATATATATATATGTATATGTATGTATATGTATATGTATGTATATGTATATGTATGTATGTATAGAGGACCGCGAAGTTAATGAGTGACTAATGGCTGACTGCATCACCGTATAAGGAACCGGTACTAATGAAAACAAAGCGTCAATATTTGCCTACATTTAGTTACCAATTCAAAGTATATGGTACGTGCAGGCATGCATTAATTTCCCCTGAATCAATTTAAATAATTTGCATAAATCTCATTTCCTCGTTTTTAGGACTCACATTCTTAACCCCTGTCGAATGGAAATCCATTGAAGAATTCTTCTAAAAATTTATCATATTTCCATATAAATCTATATTAATGAAAGTATTAATTACCATAATAAACATTAATGACAGCAATCGCCATTCCCTTCTTTAAATACATCACACCACCAAGGCCATGCATGCATAATTGGATACGCCCTCACGTCCACAACATGGAAAGGTTCTCTCTGTTCTTCTTCGTTGCCTGCGTCCCATTCCTATCCCCTTCTTCTGCCGCTGGTTTCTCCGTAGATCTCATTCACCGCGACTCTCCCCTCTCGCCTTTTTACAACCCTTCCTCCTCCCCTCATTCCCTCCTCCGTGCCTCCTTCCACCGCTCCCGCCGCCGCGCGGCCTACTTCCTCCGTGCTGCAAGCCTCACTCCTCCCCTCCACAGTGAAATCATCCCAAACTCTTTCGAATACCTCATGAAATTCTCCATCGGCACCCCACCCACCAAAACCCTCGCCATCGTCGATACCGGCAGCGACCTCAACTGGGTCCAATGCACCCCGTGCAAGGAATGCTACGCCCAACATCTCCCTCTCTTCGATCCCTCCGCATCTTCATCGTACAAACCAGTCCCCTGTTCCGACATGTCATGCTCCGCGCTCCCTCAGTACGGAGACTGCTTCTCCCAATCCAACTGTAATTACGAATACTCCTATGGAGATCGCTCTTACGTCATCGGAGAACTCGCCACCGAGACCTTCTCGTTCGACACCGCAGACGCCGACAGTCATCTGGTGCATGTTAAAAATATCATTTTTGGCTGCACGCACGAAAGCAACGGTACCTTCGACGCAATGGGCGCGGGGCTTGTGGGGCTCGGCGGAGGACAGCTCTCCCTCATCACCCAGCTCGGCGATGCTGTTGACAATAAATTCTCTTATTGCCTTCCTCCCCTCAACAACAAGTCTTTGAGCGGCCGGCTCAACTTCGGTGCGAAAGCAGTCGTCTCTGGTCCCGATGCAGTCATTACTGATCTCATCTTCCAACAGACGGACAGCTACTTCTTCCTTAGCCTGGAGTATATATCAGTTGCCGGCGATTCGGAAACTATTGCCTTTAAATCGGCTCGGAATGGTTCACAGGTACGGGAAGAGAAACATTTGCTTTTTTTCTGACACGTATTAATTGTTCAAAAACTTTTTTTTTTTGTTTATATTAAAAATTACGTACGCAAATTGAAATTTTTAGATATTACGAATTTTCTTGAATCCTAAGCTGACAAATGAAATTTTTTTATATAGGTACGACTGTCAAAACGGCTATTTATTCGCGAACAGCTCGTATTTGGCTCGTTAAGAAGCTCATGTTCAGCTCGTTCGCTAAGTTAACGAGTCGAACACGAACAAAAATTTATTCGTTTGTCTTCGGCTTATTTCACTCGAAATACTATATATATATATATATATATATATTGAATCGTAGTATTTTTAAAAAATTTAATGGACTGCAAAGCTACAAAGATTTAAAATCAATAAAAGCATTAATTAAGAAATAAAATAAAATTTGTTAAATTAGATTCAAATGATGTTTTAATATAACCAATAATTTTAAAATCTTGTCTCAACCTTTAACATCTTATGGCTACCTGATTAGTGTTGTCAAAACGACAATTTGTTCGTGAATAGCTCGTGTTCGGCTCGCTAAGCTAACGAGCCGAGCACAAACACATTTTTTTAGCTCAAAATATGAACGAACCTAACACAAACTTTGCCTGGGCCCGCTTACAACCCTTCATTTAAGAATCATTCATTTAAATTTGTTATGAGTATTCCGTTCATGATGTATGAGAACCCTTAATATTCAGTATAATTATTTACATACTTGATTCGCAGGAGGAAGGTAACATAATCATAGATTCAGGCACGACACTTACGCTCATTGACGACGATACTCTGCAGTTTTTGATAACTAAGCTGTCAGAAGTTGTGAAGCTGCCACAGGTGAGTGATCCAGAGGGAATGTTCAATCTCTGTTTTGACGTTTCAGAGACAAAGGAAGTGGAAGATGGCAACCTTCCGGATATAATATTTCATTTTTCTGGAGCTGATGTGGTATTGAAGCCATTGAACGCATTTATAGAGCTGGATGAGAAGACGCTGTGCCTTGCCATGATATCGAGCGGGGGTGTTGGGGGTGTAAGCATTTTTGGAAATGTGGCGCAGCAGAATTTTAACGTTGGGTATGATTTGAGCGCCATGAAGTTGACGCTGGAGCCGACAGATTGTGCAGCTGTTTGACGGAGATTTGGAAAAAGAGGGAGACGCTTTTCATTGCTTCTTTTGTTTTTTTCATTTTTTTGGGTGCGTTGCGGGGCCTGGTTCAAAGTTGGCGGTGCTAGTGCGTTAAAGTATACTTATAATGTTAGATTGGAATTGGAAAAAAAAGGATATGAAGTATTTCTCTGGGCTTTGCTTCTATGGTTCACATGCGTGAGATTAGCGTAACTCCATGTTAAATTCTATTGAAAATTTTTATTTATAAACAAGCTTACTCAATTGGAAATGCATGAGGGACAAAATGGTAGAAATTAAGAGAGTGAATAACAAGCATGAAACAGGATGGGGGATTAAAAATGAAATTTGGGGACATATTGGACCCGAATAACTTAATTTATCATTTTAAAAAGATTATAGTGGGACATGTAGGCTTTCGGAAGATTTTTGAAGTAAAATAACACTCAAAATGAAAAGGCAAGACAAATTATTTAGTGAAATTGAGATCGAATCCTACCATGCTCGGGCGTTACTATATACCTCCTGCAAGAACAAACATATTCATAATTGAGACAAAATGAATGGAGTTATTGTTGCTTGCAGGAAATTTGGTACTAGCAGATGGATCAATTATCATATTGGTGTTAGAAGATAGTTCTGCACAACACCAGATGAATATACCATATAATAAATTTTATCTGGAAAATTTGAAATGAAAAGAATAAGAAGGCCGAGGCCCAATTGAACGATATCTATTTGAGGTTACAATGATTTATTCTTATTTGTTGTTGTTAAAGGTGGCATGATTTTCATGTTAGGTGGAAGAGTTGTGCCATGGATGAGTGTCGAACAGTCACTCATAGCTTCCTCTATAATGCAAGCAAAATTCAAAGCTTGTTACCAGGCATTAATTCAAGGAATATGATTGCAAACTGCTCTGCATGTTGTTGATGTTATTGAGAGAACAAGAAAAATAAATTGTGATAATAGTCATAGGGCTATACTAAAAGAACAACTCAAAGAAAGACATAAGCTCGTCAAAATCAAAACACATTGATATGCCAAACAAACAATATAGAGTTATCAAGTGTCGATTGAAAGTATAACCACAAATCCTTTGATTGAGGGTCCACTTACGGAAGGTTTAACTCGAAAAGTGCCCCATGAGCATGTGGCTAGTATGGATGTGGTTTATCTTTATCGAATTTTTACCCACACCACCTAAAAGTTAAATAGTTAACTACACATCACACCTCTTTTAATTTATACCTACACAACAAGTTATGTCAAAATTGAGACCGCCATTGTCTTATTTCAAAGTAATAGTTTTGATTGTTGTGTTTTATTTGTTTTGAAGAAAGCTTGAGGTTTTTCATTAAAAGGTTCAAGTTTAGAAGTTTCCATACCAGTATCAATCTGAAAATTTATTTATATGTGCATCTAAACATCATCTTGATAAGAGTTCAAGAATCATTCAACATCACTTTCATTCAATCAAAAAAATCTTTCTCATAAATAAATAAACATCAATTCATTTATAAACATATTCATTGTCATTGATACATTCATGACTGAACAACAATTTTTCACAGACATAACGCATGACAAACATCGACAGTCATGACATCAGAACATGTAAATAAAATCAGACATTTAAAATTGCAATGACTTGGTACATTGTAACATAATTTCTAGGACGTAGCTGAGAGGTCATTTTGAGCTCTTCATCTTTCTGAAGGTGGTAGAGACTCATTTCTTGTGGATGAAAGGTGCACAATGCTTTGCTAAGTAGGCATATTTCCACTGAAAACTAATGTTGATCCTAAAGGCAGAATAATGAAGTGTGATCTAGCAAACTCATCAGAGTTGATTATTTTTGGCTCTTTTTCTAAGACCATGCTGCATGAACTCAAAAAATAAAATGTGCAAAATGGAAGCTCGAAGTCATGGGAGTCAATATGAGGTGGAATGCAGTCATTTGTGTCATAAATGTATTTGATACAACTATCTGGTATTGAAGAAGGCAAGATGTGCCAAGATACAAATCTCTTAATAATAAAATTGAATTATCAAGGAATGTCATCCACCTGTTCACTTCGTATAAATTCTGGGTAAATTTCCTTCAATATCTCAAACATAGTTGTAACAACACCTATACTAAGGAGTTTATCTTCATTTACTTTTCATACATCTCTAACCTTGTTGTAAGTGTGCCTCTTATGTTCTTCCCTGACAACCTTTGTCTTGAAATTTATAGATTTTCTGGATGTTCTTATCTTCTATCTCTGAAAAAGTTTTAATGAGAAGTTTTTTTCCTTCTAAGATATTAATAGACTTTCCTCAAACTTGTTCAAAACATTCGACACTCTGTGTTGTCATCCTCTTACGCTAGGCTATCAAATTGTCAGCTTCGCATTCTGAAGGTGGTTCAGATCTCAGGAGGAAAGGAAATTGGTATATATGTGAATCTACTATCTCGATTCCATCGGTATATACTCCTTAATGTTGGATGTTTGTTTGGCCTCAATCTCCCTCTTCATTCTATCATGTTTTTTTTTTAATTTTTTTATTCTTATTCCTCCATTGTGTTTTGGTGAGTGTAAGCTTTACTTTTATGAACTTGATCTTTGGTTCCATAAGTGCATCACCGGGATCTTCTGTCAATTTTTTTTTTAATGATGAGCTACCAACTGTAACTTTCATGGAAAACTCAAACAATAGCATCTCCACAGGATGTTGTTTAGGCTCGACCATAATAATTGTGGATCATTACAGAGCAAGTTCAAATCTTTGTAATCAATACCGATTCTGATGACTGGATTGTTTGTCAGATGTGCTTGGTCAATTTTATAGAGACACTATCTTTGAAGGAGAGTATGAGCTTTCCTGACGACATTCTCTACAATCAAATAAATGAAGAATCAGTTGTCTTCTAAAAGGTCATGATTATTTGAGTTAAAAGAATTCAAACGATTAAATGAAAAATATAACATGATTCAAGAATCAAATCCGACATAAATCAGGTCTCAAATTGAACAAATAGATAATTCAAATTTTCATTAAAAGATTTCAAAAGGTGCTACAATATTTTGACCCAATCTTCATTTACATTACAAACTGGCCACTTGTGAGGTTAAAATTTGTTAAGAAACATAATGACCTAGGAGGGCAATGATTTCATCCAATTAGTGGATACCACACTTCATTCTAGGCGGAGCCATGGCGATCACCTACGGGGGATTGCAAATAAATAGAGAGATAAGTTTTGATGGGCGTAGAATTGGTTATATTCAGTGTCAGACTAGATTCTTATCAGTTTGGTTAAGTGACTTTAATCACCTAGGATGTAATTAACTATAAGAGCTTTCCTCTATAGAGAATTAAAATAATCCAATTTAATTTAAACCCTGTCTAATCTGTGTATTAGATAGGGGAATTTGTTGGCTAGAAAATGTGCAGACCAAAATAGAGTCATAAACTTTCAAGTTCAAATAAGTTAAGTCTACCAATAAGTGATGCATTCAGCTTTCAGAATGAGATATCATCTATGGTATCGTGTTTAACTATTTATACTATTAGTTACATGAGATCTATCCAGTTTCTTTATACTTTCAAATTAAAATATGCCAATTTCATAAAAATAAAATTTAAATACATAATACATTATATATATATATATTAGGGGAAAGAGCAGCTTATGGCTCCCTACGTTACAAAATATTTGGGAGAGGACCCCCCACTACCAAAACCCAAAAAGGATACACGACTCACTCAAAATATGGGGGATCCTTGTCCACAATACAACTCCATGAAAAATGTCCCAAAACAAAACACTAATTACAACATCAAAAGCATACTCGTCAAAAGAAAAAGTATAGCTAGTTGTTTGTAAGTGAAGCAAAAAGCTAACAAACAAAAGATGAGATCTTCGATTGTAGAGCTCTCCGCCACGATGTGGAATAGTATGTGGAAATTCCCGGGTCATCCTTATTAACACTAAGATACTCGTGCAAAAAAGAAGAAACTCCAAGCAAAATGAGCATCGAAATATAAGGCAATGATAATACACTTACTAGGCCTACGATTAGACTTCAACATTTAAACACTAACATCAATGATGGCAATGGTGATGATGGTAATGTTTTGGTTGTTGATTGTAATGAGCAAAATGGGAATGTACCTATGCTAGAGCCTTTGAAAACAACTACACATGTGGTTTCTCTTATCCCTGAAAAAATATCAGAGAATCATGGTGATTCTATTCCTAATTATTCTGTTATTGATACTTTTGTTTATGGGGGATCTTCTGTTCCTTTTGAAACTAATACCTCTTTGCATATTGCTGCAAAAACTTTAGAAAATGAATGACAAGTTCAAAAGTACTCCAGGAAAAAGGCCAAACAAAATAATGAGTTATCAAGTCTCAATGCTAACAACATAATTCAAGAAGGTATTTATCACTCTGATGGGGAATAGTTTGTCAACCTTACTGGATCTTCTAGAAGGGCTGGCTCATGTCATCATGTATAACATTATGGTTTGGAATATTAGGGGAGTGGCGGACCCTAACTCCCTTAAAAGGCTTAAAAATCTTTGTAGGGTCCATAAATTACTCATTTTTACTATTTTGGAGCCTATGGTTAATGTTAATAAAAATATGATTTTAAATACGTTTAAAGGTTGTCGTTCGTTCTACAATATCAATAATAAAATTTAGAGTTTTTAGAAGCCCTCTGTCTCTATTTCTATTATTGAAGATGAGGAACAATATGTCTTAACCCAAATCAAGTTTGAAGATTTTCAAGGGTGGGACATTTCTGGCTATGCCAGTTCTTCGTTGCATGATAAGTTTCTGCTTTGGCAAAAACATGAACTTATGGGAAGTGTTATTAATGACAATTGGTTCGTGGGTGGTGACTTTACTATGATTATGAAACCAATGGAGATAAAAGGAGGTGGTAGAGTTGATCCTGGCCGACTGGATCGGTACTTGGCCATTTTCGCTTTTCTTAGCCATTTTCCTA